ACGAAACTTTAAAATACCGGATGTTTGTATGATATGACTGCTACCGTGACAGCATTTTTTATACGCACGTTTCCTTAAAATAGACTAGTGAAAAAGGACGGAGGGAGGAGGAGAGAGAGGGAGGAATGGAGAGAGGAGAGAGGGGGGAGAGAGGGAGAGAGGAGAGAGGGAGGGAGAGAGGAGAGAGGGAGAGAGAGAGAGAGAGAGAGAGAGAGAGAGAGGAGAGAGAGAGAGAGAGAGAGAGAGAGAGAGAGAGAGAGAGAGAGAGGGAGAGAGGGAGAGAGGGAGAGAGGAGAGAGGGAGGGAGAGAAGAGACGAGAGAGAGAGAGAGAGAGAGAGAGAGAGAGAGAGAGAGAGAGAGAAGAGAGAGAGAGAGAGAGAGAGAGAGAGAGAGAGAAAGATTTACATTTTTTCCGTCCCATTAAAACTTTTATTTTCTAATTATATTACATTGAAATACCTTTTGAGTGCTTGTTATTAAGCACTGAAGCGTTATTTCTACACATGTACCCATGAACACACGTCTATCTTAATGGAAAATCGCATATTCCCATACCACACACAAATTCACAAACAACACAACACACACAACACCACACACACACACCACACACACACACACACACACACACACACACACACACACACACACACACACACACACACAGCACACACACAACAACAACACAGAGACAACGCACATAACACACACACACCCATACACGACAAACGATCACAGACGCATACAAACAGACACAAAACACACACACGAGCCCGGACGTCCGCACTGCACCAGACGCGCGCTGGCGACATCATTGGTTCATTTTACTAACGTCTCCTCGCTTCTCTCCTCCCCCCCCCCTCCATTAAGATGACACTCCCCTCAGCTTTCCTCCTCCCCCTCCCTCCCCCACCCCTCTCTCCATTTTTTTTCCTTCTTCCCTTCTTTTTCCTCTTTTCTCTTTTCGAATCTTCTCTACTCTCAAATCTTATTCCTCTTCTCTACTTTTCCTTCTTTCCCCTCTGCTTCTTTCCCCTCCAACTTCCTCTCTCTAACTTCACATCCCTCTTACTCACTCCCCCCTTTCCCTCCCTTCCACTTCCTCCACTCAACTTCCCTTCCCCTTCCCTCTCCTCACCTCCTCTTCCCCTTCCCCCTCCCTCTCCTCTCTCCTCCTCACTCTCCTCCCTCTCCTACTCCTCTTACTCCCTACTCTTCCTCCACCTTCCTCCCTCCACCCACTTCTTCTCCCACTCCCTCACTCCTCCTCTCTCCTCCTCCCACTTCCTCCACTCCTCTCCTCTTTCCCTCCATCCTCCTCTCCTCCACTCCTCCTCCCTTTTCTCCTCCTCTCCCTCCTCCTCCCCTCCCCCCCTCGTCCTCCATCCCAGCAGCTCAGGTCGTTCCAGTCGTCGCAAATGGTGTGGTCATAATTTTTGTCGTAACTGTCGAGCCATTGTTAAGGTGGCAGATCCAATGTGACCAAGAAGCGCTCGGAGGCCCGGCGCGAACGGGACGCTGAGGACGCACACAGATCCTCGCAATCTGGTGCACATGTCATGTATGCAGATACTCCGACGCAGGACATACATACGTACACACAACGTATACGTGTACTCACACGCCCGCACGCGTTCAAACACACACACACACACACACACACACACACAGACACACACACACACACACACACACACACACACCAGCGACAGGACATCTAATTTATTTGGCGACCGGCAAGACCCAGACGATGATCTATATCTACGATGTGAACTGTAAACTCTAAACATCTTGCGAGTAGAAGGATGGGAGAGGTTACCCCTACCCCCTTTCACCCCATCTCCTTCGCTCTTACTCTTACTCTTCTCTCTCTCTCTCTCTTTTAATCGCTTATTTTACTCCTATCTCCCTTTTTTTCCCTTCTCTTTTTCTCCTCACCGGCTTCCCCTCCTCCTTCCCTCTTTTCCTCCTTCTCCTTTCTCTCTTCCTTCCTCCTCTCTCCTTCCCTCCCTCTCTCCTCCTCCTCCCCCTCCTCCCTCCCTCCATCCAGGAAGAGACATCTGTGTCCGTGGAATCCAATATTCGAGTTTAAATATCACACGGATATCAAAGTAAACACGAGACTTTTTTTATATTGAAGATCGTGACACCAGTTTCGCGATAATGGGTGTCAGCTGAAGACAAGGTGGAAATGGTGGTACTAATAATGATTGTGTTGTTATTTTTATCATTATTATTATCATTTGGCTGAGTTTAGATAGTGATGGGTCTCTCATTAAGATAAATTTTACATTATATCGAGGTGTCATAAATTCAGTAATTTAAAATATCAATACTTTCTCTTCTGACGACTTCCCATAACAATCACAAAAATAAACACTCTTAAACCTACAAACAAACACAAAATAAAACAATACCCCCCGCCGTGCAACATACATCTTGTCCCTCGCAGTAAATGCACTTCGGAAAAAAAAATATGTGGCGATCGAAAAAGAAAAAATTCACTAAACGGCAACTTTCGGGTCCCATTACCACTGAAAATTAACTTGTCATGACTAATTCCTTCAAGAAGAGAGTATAGCGGCACTGGGAATGAAGGGATCTACTGATGGGCAGAGGGTAAAGGGATGGGTGAGGGGGGGGGAGACGGGTGAAGGGGAGGGGAAACAGGGATGGGTGAAGGGGAGGGTAAGAGGGATGGGTGAGGGGAGGGGAAATAGGTTGGGATAAGGGGAAGGGAATGAGGGATGGGAGAGGAGAAGAGGATGTGAGGGGGAAGGGAATAAGGAGTGCTGCTGATAGGGTGAGGGTAATGGGGATGGGTGAGGAGCAGGGAGATAGAGGATGGGTGAGGGGAAATGAGAGGTTCTGCTGATGCGCTGAGGGTAAGAGGGATGGGTGAGTGACGAAGGGAAGAGAGAGAGAGAGAGAGAGAGAGAGAGAGAGAGAGAGAGAGAGAGAGAGGAGAGAGAGAGAGAGAGAGAGAGAGAGAGAGAGAGAGAGAGAGAAGCAGACTGAGCGAAGAAAGAGAGAGAGAGAGGGAGAAGCAGACTGAGAGAAGAAAGAGGTTAAACAAGTCAAAGGAGAGGATGAGGGGTGAGGCGAATCTCCCGATAGAGGCACGGCGCTAGGTGAGGGGAGATAAGTTGGCATGGATGGAGGGGAAAGGCGGCGGGCGCGGGGATGGGTGCGGGCGGGGGTGCGAGTGTGGCTGCGAGATTGCGAGGCGCTGAGGGCGGGCGGGCGGGCGAGCGGGCGGGCAGCTACCGTCTGGGTGAGGGGAAGGCTCCCGGCGAAGTATGCGAAGGGAATGGGTGACTGATGAGGGGAAATGGGGGCGTGGGCGGGGAAGGATGCTAATGGCGTGAACGAGGGATGGGGGCGGGAGGGGTATGGGCGGGCGGAAACAACAGCTAGCGAGACTGAGAGGAAGAAGCAAGGCTAAGGAAAAGAAACGCTGTGAGAACACGAAAATAGATTCTTAAATCGCTTGATAACACGAGAGAAAAGAGAAACGAAATAGACCGATAACATGAAAAAAGATAAAATAAATATTGATAAGAAGAGAGAAATCAGAATGGCTTCCATCCTAGAACAAAAAGCGAACGGACAACAAGAAAAAAAGAGAAAGAAGATAAAAGCCACGGGATGAAACCCAAGCCACGAGACGAGAGAAAAGGGGAAACCTCGCTTCTTCCCGGACGACGAAGCCCGAACCCCGCCGCCGAGTGTCAACATCAGAGACAACTTAGGTCTAAGAGCTTTGAGGTTGTCCGCCCGCCCTCCAAGGCCCCGAAAGCCCTTTGAGGCGGGCTTTCCTCTCCGCCCGCGCACGGAGGCCCGCCTTTGTTTACCGGCTCCGCTGATGAGGGGCCGTTCGAAGCCTCGGGCGCCGGGTCGTGCGCGCCATTAAGAGCGGCGGCGAACGTCTCTGCAGCGAACTATACGAAATACGAGCTTACGAAAACGTCACTAAGAGGAACGTCTTAAATGAGCATATAACGAACGCCACGAAAACGGACGCCTCAACCAAGGAAATCACTACAACGACCTCCACTACGACGCAAACTTCCACGAACGAACGACACCGCAGCGGACATACCTCGAACGTCCCCCGACCACGGAACGTANCTTCCCTCCACCCCCATCCCTCCTTCCCCTCCTTCCCTCCCCCCTCCCTTCCCTCCAACCCCTTCCCTCCCTCCACTCGTAGCAGTCATGGGCCAAAATAATCACACGAAAAGTTACGTTTCCAATCACCTCCAAAATTTCCCAGCTGGCGATTCCGGCAACTGATGGAAAGATTTGCATTTTATGTTTTGTTTGATCTTATTACTTTTGGTGCTTGTTGGGGAAGAGATGGCAGAGAGGATGAGGAACGGTCGAGGGAGAGTTGTGGGGGAGTGAGGGGAGGTTGTGGGAGGTCTGGGGAGTGGGGAAAGAGATGGAGAGAGGGGGGAGGTTTTGTGGGGAGGAGGGAGATTATGTTTGGATTTCTTGAGTAAATATAGGGAGTAGATTAGAGAGAGAAGAGAGACCGAACGAGAGAGAGAGAGAGAGGAGAGAATGATGAGAGAGAGAGATGAGAGAGAGAGAAGAGAGAGAGACGAGAGAGAAGAAGAGATAGAGAGAAAGAGAGGAGGAGGGTGGGGAGAGATAAGAAAGAAGAAGAGAAGAGAGAGGGAAGAAGAAGAGAAGGGAGAGAGAGAAAACGGAGAGAGAGAGAGAGAGAGAGGAGAGAGAGAAGAGAGGAGAGGAGGAGAGGAGAGCGGAGAGAGAGAGGAGAGCGAGAGAGAGGAGAGAGGGGAGGAGAGAAGAAGAGAGGAGAGAGAGAGATTTGAAGAGAAAGAGAGAGATAGAGAGAGGGGGTGGGAGAGAAAGAGAAAACGGAGAGAGAGAGAGAGAGAGAAGAGGAGAGAGAGAGAGAGACGAGGAGGGAGAGCCGAGACGAGAGAGATGGAGAGACGAGAGAGAGAGAGAGAGAGAGGGAGAGGAAAGAAAAGTGAGAAAGAGAGAGAGAGAGAGAGAGAGAGAGAGAGAGAGAGAGAGGAGAGAGAGAGCGAGGAGAGAGGAGAGAGAAGAGAGGAGCGAGAGGAGACCGAGAGAGACGAGGAGAGAGAGAATTGAGAAGGGCGAGAGAGAGAGCAGAGAGGCGCAGGACGCAGAGAGCAGAGATGCATCTAGAGGAGAGAGAAACATGAGAGAAAAGGAAACAGAGGGAGAGAGAGCAGAGAGAGGAGATGAGAGAGAGACAGACGAGAGAGAGGAGACGAGGAGAGAGAGAGAGAGAGAGAGCAGAGAGAGAGAGATTGAGAGAGGGCGACGAGAGAGAGGAGAGAGAGAGAGCGAGATGAGAGAAACAGAGAAACAGAGAGAGAGAGAGAGAGACGAGAGAGAGAGAGAAAAGAGAAACAGAAGAAAACAGAAAGAAAACAGAGAGAGAGAGAGGAGTGATAAGAGAAAGAGAAAGAGAGAGGAGAAAATGGAGGACACTACTTTTGGTACACAACTCATTTTAAGAAATCCCCCAACATTTCCCTTAAAGCAATATAATAAAATGAGAATCAATCAATAGTCATGTTCAGTCACTCAGTTCAAGCAGTCAATCCATCCATCATGCAAGACCCTTTCCCCCCTCCCCCCTCCCTCTACCCCCCCCCCCTCTCTCTCTCTCTCTCCTTGCTTTCCAGTTATTCAACAAAACTTTATATGTCTTTGTAATTACTTCGCCAACTTTTTTTCTTTCTATCTATTCCCCTCATTTTCTATCTATTCTCCCCTCCTTTTCTGTCTACTTTCTACTTTTCTGTCTGTTCTTCCCCTCTTTTCTGTTTCCTCTCCCCTTCCCCTTGTTGGGTTACGTTTCTCCATTCATTCCTACCTCCTCTCCCCTCTTTTCTCCTTATTCTTGACCACCTTTTCTCCTCTTCCCTCTTATTCTTCGCTCTCCTTTTCTCCCGTTCCTCTTCTCCTTCTCCTTCCACCTATCTTCCTTTCCTCCTTCCTCTAAATTCTTCCAAGCATTCCTATTTTCTCGTTCCCCATCTCTTCTCTCTCTCCTCAAACAATACCCCCTTTCTTCCCCCTCTTCCCGCATCTCCACCATTCTTCCTCCCTCCTTCTCCCCTCTCCTTTCTCCATCTCCATCATCCTTCTCTCCCTCTCTCTTCCCCCCACTCCCCTCCCCTCTCTCCCTCCCCCACTCTCTCCCTCTCCCTTCCCCTCTTCCCACCCCACTCTCACTTCCTCTCCCCTATTCCTCTCCCCCCCACCACCTCCTGCCTTCCTTCCATCACCCCCCCCCGCGCCCCCATCCCCTCTCCCCCCCGGGCCCACCGCCCCCCCCTCCCCCTCTCCTCTTACCTCTCTCCCTCCCCTTCCCCCTCTCCCACTCCTATCCCCTCCTTCCTTCCTTCCTCTCTCTCCCCAATCTTCCCTCCCCTCCACTTCTCTCCCTCTCCCTCAGCCTCTCTCCCCTCCCCCCCCCCCACTCTCACTCCCTTCCCTTTCCTCCCTCCTTTCCCTCCACTCTCCTTACTCCTATCCCTACCTCCCCCCACTCCCTCTACTCTCCACTCCCTTCCTACTCTTCCCAAATCCCTCTCCCTCCCTTTCCCTCCTTCCCTCTATCCCTATCCCTTTTCCCCCCGTCCTTTCCCCCTCTCTTCTCCCCCACTCACTCTACCCTCCCCTCCCTCCCTCCTTCGCCTCTTCCCTTTCCCCTCTTTCCCCCTTCTCCCCTCTCCCCTCTCCCTCAGCAAGGCCATCAATTTCCCAGCCAACCTCGCTCTTAAGATTGACGCTTCTCTGAACCGTAGACCCATCAATTTTCAATCAGTGAGAGGAGGATGGATGGTGGGATTATCTTTTTTTTTATTTTTTTATTTTATTGTTTTTTTTTTTTTACTTTTTTTTTTTTTTTTTTTTTTTTTTTTTTTTTTTTGCTCTCCCTTCTCTCCTCTATCCCTCTCTCTACTCTTTATCTGTTTAATCTGCCTGGTCTCTTCTGGGCTCTCTCTTCTCTCGTCATCTATCTATCTGTCGTCTGTCTGTCTCTCTTCCCTCTGGTTATCTCTCTCTCTATTTCCTCTTTCTCTCTCTCTCTCTTCTCTTCTCTCCTCTCTTTCTCTCTCTCTCTTCTCTCTCTCTCTCTCTCTCTCTCTCTCTCTTCTCTCTCTCTCTCTCCTCTTCTCTCTCTCTCTCTCTCTCTCCCTCTCCTCTCTCTCTCACTTATCTGTCTATCTACCTGGTCTATATGTCTATCCATCTATCTCTCAATTATAATTATAAATGATAATAATGATAATGATAAGAACAATAATGATAATGTAAGAACAATAATGATAATAAGAACAATAATGATAATGAATAATAATAGTTAATAACAACAAAGATAAAAGTTATGATATGTACATAATGATATATAAATAATAATAATGTCAATGATAATAATGATAATGATAATGAACATAATGATAATCATAATAATGATAATAATGACTGTAACACCAATGATAACTATAATGATAGTAATAAGGATAATCATAATGATAAAAATGATAATTATAATAGAATAATGACACAGAAAATAGTTATAGTAACATTGATAATGTTAATGATGATACTAGTAATAATAATAATAATTGTAATGATAACACTAATTATAACAATACTAATTATGATAATAAGAAAGATGATAATGATAATAATGATAATACTGATAGTAGAATAATAACAAAAAGATTAGTTATAGAAACAATGATAACAATGATAATAATAATAGTGATAATAATTGTAATGATTATCATAAAGATGATAAGGATAATCACAATGATAATAATAACAATGATGATGTCAATAATAATAAAGAATACAAATTCCAGTTGTAATGAAAATTATAATGACAATTATAATGATGTCAATAATAATAAAGAATACAAATTCCAGTTGTAATGAAAATCATAATAACAATAATAATAACAATGATAATAATTATTACGATGATAATGATAATGATTTCAATAACAATAATGATAATGATAAAAATGATGATAACAATAGCAATAATAACATGATGAATAATGATTGAAATTATAATGATGATTATTATGATAACAACAATAATAATGATAATGATGATAATAATAATGATGATAATAATGATAACAATAATAATAGTAATAATCGTGATAACGATAACAATAATGATGATAATAACAATAATAATTGATAATGATAATAATAATAATGATATAATAATAATAACAATAATAAAAATAATATAATAATGATAATGATAATGAAAAAAATGTATTAATGATTAGTAATAATAATAATAAAATAATAATAATAATAATAATATAATAATAATAATAATAATATAATAATAAATAATAATTAATAATAAATAATGATAATAATAATAATAATAATAATAATAATAATAATAATAATAATAATAATAATAATAATAATAATAATAATAATAATAAAACCAGTATAATGAGATGTAATAATGATAATGATAATAATAATGATAACAATAATGATAATAGTAATAATAATTATAACAATAGTAATAACAAAAATAATGATAACAATTATAATGATTATAATTATCATAATAATAACAATTGATAACAATAATGGTAATGGTAAGGATATGATGATACTAATTATGATAATAATAATAATAATATAATAATAGGTAGAAGAAGAAGATGGAGAAGAGGAAAGAAGATGATGAGGAGGAGGAAGATGGAAAAAAAAACATTATAATGATAGCAATGATAATAATAATGATTGTTTAAAAAGATATGATGACATTGGTAATTATAATGATGATGATAACAGTAATATCAATAACAGCAATAACATATGATTTTATGATGATCATAATGATCATAATGATAATCATAATTGATATAATGATATAATTGAAATAAAAATAATTAATAATAAATAATAAATAATAATTAATAACAATAATAAATTAAATATGATGATAATGATTAATAATAATAATGATAATAATAATAAGATAGTAAAATAATAATAATATGATAGTAATAATACCAATAATACCAATAATAATAATAATAATTTAAATAATAATAATAATTGAAAATGATAATGAAAATAATGATAGAAAACTACGGCTAATAACAATAAATGATAATAATAATAACAATAATAATAATAATAATAGTTAATGATAATGATAAGGATCATAATAATAATGATAATGATATAATATGATAATAATCATCATAAAAGATAATGATAATGACAGTAATGACATTATCATTTATAATGATAATAGTAATAATAAAGATGATAATGATAATAATAATAATAATAATAAATGATAAATAGATAATATTAATAATATTATATTATTACATAATGATAAGATAACAACAATGATAATAATTATAATAACAGTAATGAAAATAACAGTAATAACAATGAAAATTTTTAACATTGATAACAATGTTGATAATGATAATAAGGATAATAATCATAATGATAATGTTAGTAATAATAGTAATGATAAAAGTGACTAGAATGATGATAACAATAAAAATATATGACAATAACACTAGTAGTAATAATAATGATAATGATAAGAATGATGTTGATGATGTTTGTGTGATAATAATAATGATCATGATAATAATAATAATACTGATAATGATAATAATACTGATGATAATAATGATACTGATAATAATAACAAAAATGGAAATAACTGATGATAGCAACAACAACGATATTTAATTATAATAATGATAATAATGGAAAAATAATGATTAATCAAACAGATAAATGGATAAATAGATATATGAATAAATGAATAAGAAATAAATAAATGCACAAGTAGATAAATAAATGAATAAAAAGGTACATAAGAACGGAGAAAAAAAGAGAAGCAACATGGAAGCTACATGAACATGATCGTAAAAAAAAAAAAAAAAAAAAAAAAAAAAAAAAAAAAAAACCCCCCCCCCTCACCCCCCCCCCTCCATTGTAGCATTTCCATCCAATATTTTTTTTTTCTTTTTTTTCCCAAAAAGATGATTGAAAATAGATATAACTCCTGCCCACGAGACACTCAGAAAGACGGTGGAATGCAAGGTAAAGATAGATTAGCGAAGATGGAATTAGAGATAAGGTGGACATGCAATTATGGGTGGGAGGGAAGGGGGAAGGGGGGAGGAAGGAAGGAGAGGGAGAGAGAGAAGAGAAGAAGGGGAGAGGAAGAGGAGATAGGGTGAGAGAGAGAAAGGAGAAGGGAAGAAGAGAGAGGAGAGAGAGAAGAGAAAAGGGGAGAAGGGAAGGGAGAGGAAGGAGAGGGAGAGAGAGAGAGAAGGGAGAAGGAAGGGAGGATAGGGCGAGAGAGAGAGGAGAAGGGGAGAGGGGAATGGAGGATAGAGAGAGAGAGAGAGGAGAGGGGAGAAGAAGTAGAGGGAGAGAGAGAGAGAGGAGAAGGGAGAGGAGTAGAGGGAGGAGAGAGAGGAGAAGGGGAGAGGGGAAAGAGAGGGCGGGAGAGAGAGAGAGAAATGGAGGGAAGGGAGGATAGGATGAGGGAGAAGGGGAAGGAGGATAAGGAGAGAGGAGAGAGAGAGGGAAAGAAGGAGAAGGGGGATAGAGAAGCATGGAGAACGAAGGATAGAGAGAAAAGAGGAGAGAAAAGAAGGAGAAGGGAGAAAGAGAGAGAGAGAGAGAGAGAGAGAGAGAGAGAGAGAGACGAGAGAGAGAGAGGAGAGAGAGAGGAGACTGAGAGAGAGAGAGAGGGGAGGGAGGGAGGGAGGTACGTAAGAGACAAAATAACGAGAGAGAGAAGAGAAGGAGAGAGAGGAAGAAAGAATACAAAACAGATGATAGATGGAAAGGTAGAGACAACGATAGACTGAAGGAAAATAAAAGGAGAGGGAAAGAAAACAGAGAGACAAGGAGAGACCGAAACAAGAGAAGAAAGAGAGGAGACCGAAACAAAGAGAAACAGTGAGTGGCCGATAGAAGAGAGGAAAAAAAACAGAAACAGTGAAAGACCGAAACGGAGAGAAAAAACGAAACAAATAAACAGCAAACACTGAAACAAGAGAGAAAGGAAGAGAGAGAAAGAGAGAAAAGAAAGAAAAGAGAGAGAGAGAGAGAGAGAGAGGAGAGAGAGAGAGAGGAGAGAGAGAGAGAGAAGAGAGAAAGAGAGAAGAGAAAGAGAAGAGAGAGAGGAGAGAGAAAGTGAGTGAGTGAGAAGAGAGAGAGACCGAAACAGAGAAAAGAGAGAGAAAGAAAGGAGAAGAGAAAGAGAGAGAAAAAGAACGAGAGAGAGAGAGAAACCGAAACAGAGAGAGATCAAAACAAAGAGATAGAAAGAGACAAACCGAAACCAAGAGAAGAAAGAGAGAGAAAAAAAAATGAAAGACCGAAACAAAGAGATGAGACGAAACCAAGGAAAGGAGGAGGACCTTGAGAAGACCCGCCCACCAAGTCCCGCCCACCAAGACCCGCCCACCAAGTTCCCCCACCAAGACCCGCCCATCCCGCCCAAAGAACCCGCCCACGAATGACCCGCCCACCAAGACCCGCCCACCAAGACCCGCCCACCAAGTCCCGCCCATCAAGGACCCGCCCACCAAGACCCGCCCACAAGACCCGCCCATCAAGGACCCGCCCACCCAGGACCCGGCCCGCCCACCAGACCCGCCCACCAAGACCCGCCCACCCGCCCACCAAGACCGCCCACCAAGACCCGCCCACCAAGGACCCACCCACCAAGACCACGCCCACCAAGACCCGCCCACCAAGAACCCGCCCACCAAGTACCCGCCCACCAAGTACCCGCCCACCAAGTCCCCGCCCACCAAGACCCTCCCACCAAGACCACGCCCACCAAGAACCCGCCCATCAAGAACCCGCCCACGAATGACCCGGCCCACCAAGACCCGCCCACCAAGACCCGCCCACCAAGAACCCGCCCACCAAGACCCGCCCACCAAGGACCCGCCTTTCCAGGCCCGCCCACCAAGTCCCGCCCACCAAGTCCCGCCCACCAAGAACCCGCCACCAAGACCCGGCCCACCAAGGACCCGCCTTTCCACCCGCCCACCAAGTTCCCGCCCACCAAGAACCCGCCCACCAAGACCCGCCCACCAAGGACCATCCCACCAACACCAAGAACCCGCCCACCAAGACCAACCCATCCAAACACACGACCATGCAAGTGTGATGAATCATTAGGCAGATCTGATACAGGCCCAATACAGGGGGGTGGGGGTGGGGGTGGGGGGGGGGAGTCTGCGGGCATGAGCAAAGGGCCGTGGGAAAGCTGGTGGAACTGAGGGAGGAAGGGGGAAAGGGAGGGAGGGAGGGAGGAAGGAGGAGGGGAGGGGGAGGGAGGGAGGGAAGGGAGGGAGGGAGAGGGAGAGGGTGATGGAGGAGGTTGAGGGGGAGGGAGGGGGAAAGGGAGAGGAGAGAGAGGGGGAGGGAGGGAGAG